CACTCATCACCAAAAAGTGTTCTGTTTTTAAATCATTTGTAATTATTTTTCTTTATATTTGCTGGAATAAGATGGCCCTCAAAATACCAGCAAAGTACTCAGAATTACACTGAAGACTACATAATTCTACTTTGTAAAAAAGAAATATTTGTTTAAAATGATGTGTGAGTGTGTGGGGGGAGTGTTTTGTATCATTCATTCTGTTTCACTTGAGTCAGGGTCTCAATACTCAGCCAAAGCTGACCTCACACTATATCTCCCAGCTACCTCCCAGGATCTGAGACTATAAGCACGCACTGCCATATCTAGCCTAAAGGAGTGGTTTTTGTTTTTGTTTTTGTTTTTTTCTGAGACAGGGTTTCTCTGTATTGTTTTGGAGGCTATCGGTCCAGCCCAGCCTCGAACTCACAGAGATCCACCTGCCTCTGCCTCCCGAGTGCTGGGATTAAAGGTGTGCGCCACCATTGCCTGGCTTGGAGTGTTTTTATAATCCCCGGAACAAGATGCATATCTGTGTAGTGCTTAATAGTATATAAATGTATCCCTATACATATATTCCTATACATATATTCAGTTCCTATGGTGCTGCAAAACACCACAGTAGACTTTTCCAGAGAGAAGACAAACCATTTAATCCACGTCTATTTGCAGTGATGTCATCATTTCCTGACAGTTTAGAAATATGCTTGTCCAGAGAGCAGATGACTGCAAAGTTTTAAAGCCCTTGGCTGTAACTGTGACCTTAAGCATCAACTTCATGAAATGAATATGTAAACTGACTAAGGTTTAAGCTGACCCTTAGGAAACTAGAGCATTCCTGAATAAAACTGTAAATAGTTTAGAAGTGCTTAAACTCTATGGGACACTCACAGTGGGCTGCATCTCCCCTATCAGTTAACTAAGACAGTCCCCAGAGTCATAAATACAGACTAAAGAATGTAGACAGCCCTCAGTGAGACTCTCCTCAGCTGATTTTAAGTGGTGTTATTTGATAATTAAAGTTAACCATGGCAAATACCATCACTACCAACTATTCTCTCTGTGTTCCACTACAGTGTAGTATGAGGATTTGTGCTAAGAAGGCGGCCCCAGACTGATCTCTTTTCTCAGCTCATTGTCCATGCAGAAGGATAAATGGTAGCTACAGACTCCATGAGAGCATGGCCACCTCTTAGCAGACCCTCCTGTGCGTTGCTCTTGTCAAACGGTAGCCTACCCCCTCCCGCATTCTTGAGTTTACTGAAAATGTAACTTTCTCCCTCATCCCTTGAACCTTCTTTTCAGTAGATACTAAAGACAGATATAACTTCAGGCCAAGAGAAAAGTAGTTTTCTCCTTTTGTGGAACGAACAGCCACCCACCCCAATATAGAAGAAGAACAGTCCTTTCTGTAGGCCTACAGTCACTTTGCAATTAAGAAAGGCGCTGAATGATTCCTCAGGACTCTATCCAGAAGTAGACATGATTGTATAAATCAGGTATCTCCAGTTTTTTTTCTTTTATAAACCTTCTTGTACTGGAATGGTATCCCTACAAATGCTCCCCCAAATTACAAACCTTCTTGTACTGGAATGGTATCCCTACAAATGCCCCCCAAATTATAAACCTTCTTGTACTGGAATGGTATCCCTACAAATGCCCCCCAAATTATAAACCTTCTTGTACTGGAATGGTATCCCTACAAATGCCCCCCCAAATTATAAACCTTCTTGTACTGGAATGGTATCCCTACAAATGCCCCCCCCAAATTATAAACCTTCTTGTACTGGAATGGTATCCCTACAAATGCCCCCCCCAAATTATAAACCTTCTTGTACTGGAATGGTATCCCTACAAATGCCCCCCCAAACTTCTCTAAATATACATTGATTGAGCAACTTCCACATAGGAATCTAAGGCTCTAATCTCAGCAAACGGGAGGAGAGATCCTGAAGCCCTATGATGCTGGAGCAGTTGATCAGATAAAACCGTAAGCATTCAACAGTCACCCCAATCCAAAGGCAAACTGGCATCTGAGCTCCCTCTGCCTTTTCTAGGGAGACTTTCCGAGTACCGAAGAAATGCAAAGTATGTATTTTAGAGGCCCATTTTTTCAGGTTTGCATCCTAAGCAAGCTTCCTACTGCCATTTGACCTTTCACTTGCTTGAAATTCTCTTGAAAGCTGCTTTCAAGTCATTTTGATTCTCAGTCGCGCCTTTCTCAAAGCGAAGACTTGTTGGCTTCCTTAGTATATGACTCATTGTGTATGCAAATGAATTGTAGTAAGCCCCCCCCATGGTGCATGAAGCGTGTGACTTTGAGTCATGTACAATGTCTTGTCTACTTGAATATGAAAGAATAAAAGTTTTATTGTTGTTATTGGTTGAAGATGGGTAGAGGAGAATGTGAAAATAGATGCCATAGGAGTTCCCTGTGCGTGTTTCAGGAAATTTGAAGAGTTTTAGAAAATTTAAGCTCTATGGTTAGATTTTCGTCAGGGAAAATCAGGTAAAATAAGCTTGTTCCTGTTATGTAATAAATGTTTTATTTTCATATCTAATCAATATTGTATTTTCAGTCCTGCTGAGTAACTGATGGCAACAGCCTACACGTATTGACAAGGCAATACTACATACTATGGGAATGAAGGCTGCTGCTGGAGAAAATTGACAGCCATCACTTAAGTCCTGCTTCTTTACAGGGTGACAGGAACAGAGAAGCGATAACCTCCATGCCAAAAGTCCCAAGTTCATCGCCAGTTTGACATTGAGATCTTTTCCCTAAATATCGTTACTAAAACTCAAAGGACAAATACATTTATTGGCACAAATGTCTTGAGAAGGCGGAGAAAAGAACTAGCAACTCACGGTGAAGACTAAGAAACTCTAAGTAAGTTCTCATGGTGTTTGCTTCCAGTAATAGAATCTACCAGTGCCACTTGGATCATTTCCCCTTGCTTGCTTTTCATGCCCATCTTTCCCTTTCATTTCACTTCTTACTACTGCTATTCTGTTTCAGTTAACTTCTTGCCTACACTGCTGCAGCAACTATCTCGTCAGGTTCTTGACAGTCTCCCCGTGGAGAATCCACCAAACACAGGTTGGCTTTTTCCATAACAACACCTCAGCTTGTGATTGCAGCAAAAGTACTATAGGGCTCCTTCTTGCTCACAGAAGAGCACTGAACCAACCTCCCTTGTCCAGTATGCATTGATTTACGTCTTCTACTTCCACTTTTCTCTACTACTTTCCAATGTTCGTCTTCTGACTTCACACAACACACACACACACACACACACACACACACACACACACACACACGAATACCTTTGTTTGTCTTGTACACTAAAATAAAGTGCCTTATAGTTCCTATGCATGAGTTTAACCTTTTGATCTCTATTCGAATAAGTCTATCCTTACCCTTGGGATGCGCTTTCAAATTTATTCGCCCCTAGGGGATGAGCGATGTGTCACTTCACCCCCCCATGGAGCTATTTCTAAGCTCCTCTGAATTGATTAACATCCCTTCTTGAATTTTGCAGAAAAATTCACTACTTATCATTTTATATAACTTGCTGTTAAATATATTCAACTTGCTTAAAATGTGTTTGGATAAGCTTTTTTTTTCATCTCTGTGATGATGGGAAATCTCCTGAGAAGCTGGAGAGTAGGATTTCTTTTTTTGCACATGGAAATGCACCAAATGCACCCTACTGTAAGCATGGCATAAGCCCATGGAGTTGTTGATCAAGTGGTTAGATAAAGTCACTCCTTAATATTTAAATTTCAAATGATATCCAGGATTTAGAAGGCTTTTACCCACAGACAAGAGAGTGAGAGAGATTGGTGTGGAACAGACCAGTGACTGTCTACTCCTCAGCACAGCAGATTGGGATCCACCTAAGTGGGTGTGGGTCTGACTCCTCAGCTGTGGGAAATGGGTAAGTGACAGGAGTTTTCCTTCCCAACATTCAGATTTTAGACAAAGCCTGCCCTATTTTGTATACCGGTCTTGATTTTTTTTTTTACCAAGACTTTACTCAGAGAAAAATTTTCACAGTTTAAGGAAAGAATTGAAAATTCTTGGGGTCCAAGCTCTATGTGGAACTTTGATTCTGCATTTGTCTCAGGCTCTTTTCAACACAAAAGCCTTTTGCATGGAAACGAGGTAAGCATCTTTCTGTGGTTTGGCTGAATTTGCTAGCCAGCCCCCCCAAAATGCCAAAATGGCAGCACAAAGGAGCAAGTCAGCTAAGATCCCCTCCTAACCCCAGTTTTGTATGAGACGGGGGTCATCCTTCATAGTCACTGAGGTTACTCATTGACCCAACCATTAGCCTGAGAATTCCAGTCACAAGCTTGCGTAACGGCAGGCGCATGGCTGTCAATGTGTTTAGGAGGTTTTTGTTACAATGTGTACACATGCACAAGTCTTGGTGACACTGGCTAAACCACACCTGTGGCCAGATCATGAAACCAAGACAGGCAGTCAACATAAGATGCACGGGCTACTGACAGCATCACATGCTGTATTTCTTACAGTAATTGGTTTCTTTTTTAATAAATAAAATGATAAAGTTATGAAATTGGGTAGGAATTGTATTGCATTTAGTAAGTAAATCTGCAGCTTTCTTTGTTAATTATCACCCACAAATCCCAAGCGCTGTAGATAACCACAGGCTCAGGTTTTCTGTCTGAGTTGACAGCCTAGAGTATTATGTCAGCAAGGCCAGAAAAATGTCTTCTGTGAGCCACAGTTATCCTTGATGGAAACATTGTCACGGTCTGCATCTTACACACAACACCATCATTCTGGACATCCCATAGACTCAGACGGTCCCCGAGAAAGCAGTCACACAGCTTCATATTTCTGTGAGACAATGGCAGTGGCCTAGTATCTTTCACAGGGCACCCAGAAAACTCACACCTACGATAAATCTGAAACACGTCCTCACTGTGTCATGGTGGGCTCTTTGTTAGCTCTAGAGCTGTAAGTTCATCCTTTAGGAGAAGCCAAATACCTGTTCAGGTCTCGGTGTATGATTGGCTGGGTCAAGCTGTGCAGGTACTCCATACCCTTGGCAACGTCTACAGCAATAATTAGTTTGGACTGCAAGTCAAGAATTCTGGAATAGAAAATAGAGTGAATGGAGATGAGTTGGTTGAAGACAACAATCTGCATGTCTCTCAAAAGAAAACAGTCCATGGATTGCTATTCTCCATAACTCTAATGTTTTTATTCATGTTAAAAATTCAGCCTGGCAAACAGCTTTCCACAGTTGGGAACTGCTTAACTAAATGTCAGCTCAGATATTTGTTTAAAAATACAATACTTGATTAGGGCCTCTGGTGGTAGATCAGTATTTATTCCTAGAATATGAATGGACTTTGGGAGCCCATTCCCCATAGAGGGATACTCTCTCAGCCTAGACACATAGGGTAGGGTCTAGGCCCTGCTCCAAATGGTATGACAGACTTTGAAGATCCCCCATGGAAGGCCTCACGCTTCCTGGGGAGCAGAAAGGGATTGGATAACAGGCTGGTGGGGGACAGGGGAGGAGGGGAGAAGGAAATGAGATTGACATGCAAAACAAGAGTTTCTAATTTAAATTTAAAAAGGAAAAGTTATAATACTTGAAAAATATATAATACTTGATTTTCTAATTTATTTGTCATGCAAAAACTCATGATTATAAGGCACAAATGGAATGCTCTGGAGCCACTGAGGGAAACAGTGTCCATGTTACTATCGGTAGAGATCTAGAACATGAACTCAGGTTAGACATGGACAAGAGAATTCTTTAAAAAAAACTTTCTCTCTGTATGCTCTGTATGGGGCATTGGTGGCACACGCCTTAACCCCAGCACTTGGGAGGCAGAGGCAGATGGATCTCTGTGAGTTCGAGACCAGCCTGCTCTACAGAGCGAGTTCCAGGACAGCCTCCAAAGTCACAGACAAACCCTGTCTCTAAAACCCAAAAAGAAAAAAATAAATGAAAAACCTTTGTCTTATCAGTACCTTGAATCTGGACGGTTATTTTAGTCTGAGCTTACATACACACATCCTTTTTGGTGTGTCAAGGTCAGCCTACTTATAAGCTTCAGTTAGCCTCCTGAATTCCTGGAACCTGTCACCTTTGACTTCCTGTGAAGAAATCACTATAGCTCATTCTTTATTTGAAATATAATTATTACTCATAAATCATCAGCTATGTTTAAAACGCCCCACGTGTTAGCCTCTGAGACATCAGAAAGCCCAGGTTCCCTGATCAGAAAGCCCCAGCAAATGTGCTTTTCATGCTGAATGCAAGGGGAGCGTGGACCGGAGCCAATACCTCTTTTGTTCGTGGAGGAGAGAGAACAGGGAGCCTCCGGATATGTACTGCGTGACTATGGCAAACTGGCTGGGGTCATCCAGGCAGGCTCCCACAAACTGAACCACGCAAGGGTGGTTGAGCTGGCAGAGGATGGACACCTCTCGGCAAAACATGTCCACGTCTGACTTGGAGCAGTAGGTGTTGGCTCGGTATCTAGGACAAGGTAAGAGTAGGGGTGGAGGGGGCACGTTCTTGTCAATGGCAATTTTCAGGGGGCCGCCCCGCCCTGCTCTTCCCAGCCCGGGAAGCAGACGTCTTTCATCTGTCTGCTTACCGTTTGATGGCCACTATTTTATTCCTGCATCGCCCTTTGTAGACTTTCCCAAAAGAACGTGAAACATTATTTAAGAGACATTGGTAAAACGTTTGCTGCCTTTGAGTTAGAGATTGCGAAGCTGCGGCAGAGCTCTGGTGTCTTAGCTTACCTGAGCCGATGATCTCGTGGAACTCAATTTCCGAGAGCTGAAGATGGAAACGGGAGGGCAAGCCAGCCCTCAGGAGGAGAACATCGGCTTTCTCTGCGAACGGTAATTGCATTTTTACGTGGGGGTGTGCGTGCGCAACTAATCCCTTGGAAATGTGAGGACCCAAGCACACGTGGTGCCAGGGCCTGCAATTCCAGAGACACCTTCTTCTATCTCAGGCACTCAATCTCTGGGATCAAGGCTGAGCTCCCCGCTCACCTGATCTTCAGTTCACATGGCCGGACGACACAGCCACTCTCCACAATGATTGCGTCACAGCCTGAGAAACCCAATCAATCCCTTCAACCTACATCGCCAATAAGGGAGTCAAATATCTATTGATAGACTGAGCCTTCCGGGGATACCCATTAAATGGCTGGTAAAAAGCACACGAATCAATCTGAGGAAATGGCCCACACCAGAAAGGACTGTTAAAACTACAGGTTCCATGTGGTTAGACATGAATTTGTCATCGGATTGTGTTTATACTTTTCCTGGTTTAGTGATGTTAATTTCAAAATTCTCCATGCATTCAAAAAAAGTAAATGCATCCAAAAAAGTACCAGAGTGCCCCTTACTTGAGAGATTTAAAAAATCACAATTATTAATTTGAATATTTTCTAAAGCAAATATATTTCCAACTCATGTAAAAATATTCATACTTGTAATTAATGCTTTGTCCAAAGCGTAAACATCTAAATAGTGCTATGTGAGTTTGAGCTTTCTTTAGTACCCATGAATGTTCTGCTGCTGTTATAACTGTTTACTGAAGAGCATACACACAGGCTAGTTATGAGAAGGATGGATTATGGCCACCATCGCTTAGACTGGTGAAGTATTCATCACTCAATAAAATAAGACATGTGGTTGTCACAGTCACCCTCAGCAACAAAACCCAAACCATCCCACTGGTAAGTACCTTTTGTCATGCTTTTAATCTTCCCCAAGGGGGACGGGACAGACACATAGGATCCATCTGGAATCAAATGAGACAGTGGCATTGAAGGCAGCCATCATCTCTTTCTTCTTGAAGTTCAGCATGGTAGAATTGAAGCACACAATGGGGTCAAAGAGAACTAGCTTAAGGTTAAGATCTCCTTCTGGGCGGGAAGCTGTGCTGGGCAAGTTTGTCTAAAATCTGCAGGAAAGGATCCTGATTCTCTTTTAGGAGACTCCATCAGATGTAATCTGTGTTTCTTTCCTTGTATGGGTAAATTATTGACATGGAAAGGGACTGTTCTCTTCTTCCCCAGGACTTCTAGCCTGGCGCATGCTCCATACACATCCAGTCCAAGCTAAGCTTGAAGGAACTATAGGTGGATGGTGGTAGCTATTATTTGCCTCACCCAATGATGGGTCCTCATCACTTGGCTACAAACTCCTTCCTCAACTCACAGGGACAGTAGCAGCAACACACAGTTACCATTGGATGCAACAGCATGCAGCTATGAAAACACAGTAGCAAAGAGGAGTACCTCCTCCAGGTTGGGAATATTCGTTGCACGGCAGCTCCTCCTGGGGTCTCTTATAGTGCTTCAGAAGTGTGACAATGGCATCATGTCCTTCATGGAAAGAAAGAGAATGGCCTTTAATTTTTGTCCTGGCTTATTCAGCACCCTGGAAAGCAACAGCAACGACTGGAGAATATTTGCAACCTAAGCGACTCCGGAGGATATAAGATAATTACAAAGTGGATGTAATGCTTCCTTCGTTCAGAATAACCTGCTGAGAATCTCCTGATAGTTTGTGGTGGGTTGCGGTGATAGAATGGGCACGTGACTCTGCTCCCACTCGTAAGAGGACTGACAAGGAGTTGAGCAAATAATTACGGGAATTGTGAGCCGCGTGAAAACTTCCAAGTGAGCGCACATGAAATTGTGTAAGGGCACATGGTTAGAGCACGACTAAATGTTTGAAGGACACACAAGGTAGCTGAGAGAAAGGGGCACACGCTGTGACCAGGCGTGGCACTTGGTGGGCCCTGCCAGTTACACGGCGCTAAGGTCATGGCACAGGTGGTTTCTGTGGTAGAGAGAGCAAGCTGCACGTAGGTACCCGTCTTCCCCTTTCTCGGTGAGTCTGTCATTCAGAACGGCTGCTTACCCTGGGATCTCTCTATCTGTCGTCCATCCAACTGTGGCTTTGTGACATATACCCTGGGAACACAGGGGCAACGCCACTACCTTGTCCGTGCTTTAAGACACAGGAAGTTGTAACTCTCCCAGCTGCCACCTGCATGCCCAGGACTCTGAGGTGTGAGGGGATGGGAAGTGTCTCCCTTCTCTTGTCCACCAGTCCCAGAATGTCAGAAGGTTGATAGACACATTTCACTTATGAGCCACCACCACTAGCATTATTAAGTGTGCCGTCACTTATTCTTCCAAAGGATGAAAGACATTAAATGCTTTTCAGAGAATACCATTGATTTTCAATAGAGGTAAACCTTGACACTATTGTATGCTTTCCCTATGAAAATAATCTACTGAAGCCAATTTGTAAAAGCGGGAAAACATTCGACCATAAAGATCTTACCTAGAGCCTTGTGAAATGCAATCGAACCCACTGCAAAAATGGCCAACTTTAGAAACTGCAGAGCATAAATATTTTCCTATTACAGATACCTGAAAGTTAGTATTGGCTTTGCACAGGCCAGTTTATGTGTAGAGTGCCCACAGTAGTGCTCACTTAGCAAGTTTTCCCATTAAATGAGCCCAATGAATAGTAAAATATATGTAAGAACACAGAATGGAGAAGTTAACACATTTACTAACGCTAGGCATTTTCCTGAAGGTAACATTCTAGGTCGAGACTCCCTAAGGAAAGCAAACAATAATTATACGAATAATGCAATTCGAAGTAAATATATGTATTAGCTATCTAGAAGTTAGCAACTAGGCACTACTTTTTTTTAAATTATCTTTAGTTATGTTTGTAAACAGTGAGTTTTCTGTTTTCCCAAACCACGGGTGCAGGCTGTGTTGAAATGGTGAGGACAAACCCTCTTTATTATTGCTTGTTTGCTTGGACAAGTGTGATAGGAATCAGAGAAACCTTAGAGCCTGAATGATGTTAGCCAAGAGGCACATGTCTAGTGAGAGTCCAATAGGAAGGGGTAGTAAATAATGTAAATTTCTGAGCAGGAGTGAACATTGCATGACCGTGACCTATTTACAACTGTAGAAGCCATGTGTGAGGCAGGACAGAGGCAGATAGGGAGGTGCGTCTGGGCAGGTGAGGAGAGAAAAGAAGAGTGGGTAACAGACTGATGGCTGAGAGGCCAACAGGGGACTGATCCAGACTCCATGAATGCAGTGTCAGTGAGGAGGCTTCAGAAATCTCTGGGGCCTTGGGTAGTAGATCAGTGTTTACCATGGCATACGAATGAACTTTGGGAGCCCATTCCACATGGAGGGATGCTCTTTCAGCCTGGACACATGGGGGGAGGACCTAGGTCCTGCCCTGGATGAAATGACAGACCCTGGAGATCCCTCATGGAGGGCCTCACCCTCCCTGGGGAATGATATGGGGATTGGGTGGGGGGCTGGAGGGGGGCAGATGGAGGGACAGGGGAGGAGGGGTGGGAGAGGGAGCTGGGATTGACATGTGAAGCATTCATGTTTCTAATTTAAATAAAAACATATATTGAGGAAAAAAAGAATACATCAATAAAAAAACAACCCCGCCCCCCAGTCTATTAGAATGTGTCGCAGGTTAACCAGAGACTAGGAAAGAAAAGCCAGGACATGCTCGGTGGCTTTCTAATGGGGTCCTTGGTGTGGCTGGTGGGAGGCTTGCACTTAATGGACACCTAATACGGAGCTTGCAAAGACAGAACCAGTGTGGGTCATTTTCAAAACCACTAGTTCCCACGGCCCCCTGCCTATGGAAGGCTATGCCTTACTTTGCTTAAAAAGAAAACAAAGAAAGAAACCAGCCTGTCAGAAGACAAAGTAGTGCACCCAAAGACCTTCTTCTCTCTGTCCCCACAGACACCAACCACTCTCTCCATATCTATTCAATATAGTGCTTGAAGTTTGAGCTAGCGCAATAAGACAACTGAAGATATCAATGGGATACAAACTGGGAAGCAAGAAGTCAAAGTATCATTATTTGCAGATCATATAATAGCGTATATAAATGGATCCTAAAAATTTCATCAGAGAACAGTTACATGTGATAAACACTTTCAGAGTAGTGTCTGGATACATACAAGATCAACTAAAAACAAAACAAAACAAAAACCGACAAAAAGCAGCAGCCCTCCTATATACTAATGACAGATTGAGAAAGAAATTGGGGAAACATCACCTTTGAGAATAGCCCCAAAACCATTTGGGGGCTACCTTAATGTAACAAGTAAAAGACTTCTGTGATAAAAACTTCAAGTCTTTGAAGAAAGAAACTGAAGAAGTTAGCAGAAGATAGAAAGATCTCCCGTACTCATAGAATGATAAGATTAACATAATAAAAATGGCCATCCCACCAAAAGCAATGTACAGATCCAATGCAATTCCTATAAAAATCCTGATACGATTCTCTACAGACTTTTAGAGGACAATTCTCAGTTTCATATGGAAAAGCAAAAACCCAAAATAGCTAAAACAGTTTTGAAGAATAAAAGAACTGCTGGCAGTTACACCTCTCCCCGTTTCAAATTGTACCACATTGTTACAATAATAAAACTGCATGGTGTTGGCATAAAGATAGACACATTGTTCAACAGAACAGAACTGACGACCCAGACATAAATCCACACGCATGTAACACCTGAATTTTTGAAGAAGCCAGAATAAACACTGGAAAAAAGACAGCATCTTCAACAAACGGTGCTTTTAGAACCGGGTGTTTGCATGTAGAAGACTGCAAACGTATCCATACTTATCACCCTGCACAAAACCCAAGTTCGAGAGCATCAAAGACCTCAACGTAAAACCAGATGTTCAGTAACAGGCGAGAAAGCAGTAAGTATCCTTGCAATTATTGGCACAGCAGATTACTTTCTGTATAGAACTCCAATAGCACAGACCAACAATTAATAAATGGTACCTCCTGAAACTGAAGAGCTTCTCTAAGACAATGGAAAATGGCAGCATACAGAATGGGAAAATATTTTACCAACTCCACATATGTTATAAGACTAATATCCAAAAATATGAAAAAAACTCAAGAAACTAGATATCAAAAATAATCAATTACGTTTGGTCTTTTCACGGTGGCCCATATTTCCTGGATATTTTGTGTTAGGGATTTGTTGAACTTAAGATTTTTCTCTGGTTGATGAATCTATTTCCCCTAGTGTATCGTCAACACCTGAGATTCTCTCTTCCATCTCTTGTATTCTGTTGGTTATGCTGGCATCTGTAGTACCTGACCATTTGCCCAGCTTTTCTATTTGCAGCATTCCTTCAGACTGTGTTTTTTTATTGTCTATTTCAGCTTTCAACCCTTGCATTGTTTGAATTGTTTCTTGCAATTTTTGCTTTATTTTTTCATCTCTTTCTGGCATTTGTTGGATTTTTTTGGTTTGTTTTTTCTTCCATTTCTTGCATTTTTTGGTTTGTTTTTTTTTTCTTCCATTTTTTCAGGGATTTTCTCATGTCCTCTTTGAGGGCCTCTATCATTTTCATGAAGTTGCTTTTAACTCCTTTCTCATCTGCTTCATTTGCATTGGGTTGTTCAGGTCTTGTGGGTGGAGAGTCTCTAGAATCTGGCAGGGTCATATTGGTTTTTCTGTTGCTGGGTGTGTTTTTATATAGGTTTCTTCCCATCATTTCTTCCAGTGGGTGCATAGGAGTCTCTTCCCATCCTGATGGGTATGTGACCACGGTTCCTTTCTGCTGAGAGCGAGCAGATCCAATAGTCTGGTGGCTTTCCTCTTGCGTGGATGGAGGCATTCCTAGTACCAGTGCTTTGGGAATCTTTGGATAGACTGCACCCTGTTGGGATGAGATCCGCAGTCTGTGTGCAGTTCACTGGTCTCCTAAGGTACTGCTCGGGGCACTGGAAGGCAGGCTGGAAACAGTCCCACACTTACCTTGCCTGTCCTGTGGGTGGAGAGTGGGACTTAGACGCTGGCAGTCTCTGGGTGGGCTGGCTCCTGCCGGGATGGGAGCTGCAGTGCACAGTACCCTAGCTTTGGCTAGCTGTGCACACCTGAAGGCAGGCTGTAAACAGGCCCAAGCCTATCTGGTCCCATGCGTGGAGAAAGGAACTATATATAGCGCTGGCAGTCTCTGAGCGGGCTGAATTCCACATTACCAACAGTCAAAAGAAAAAAGAGGTGGAAATACACATATAATTCCACCACCATCAACCAAATGGACCCAAGAAACAAGCAGGGGTAGCAATCCTAATAGCTAACAAATTAGACTTTAAAAATAAAATCAATCAAAAGAGATGAAGGAGGTCATTTCATATTCATCACAGGATAAATCCACCAAGATGAAGTTTCAATTCTGAACATCTATGCCCCAAATAAAAAGGCATCCACATTAATAAAAGAAACATTATTAAAATTCAAATCACATATAAAGCCCCACCCACTTATAGTGGGAGACTTCAA